TCATAAGTGCGCAGAGAACTGGCCTTACAAAATTCTCCTTGATGCGGTTTACACTTCACACTTACATAAGTGATTTCTAAACTTTTTATCCCGTAGATACACTATTTGATATACTCTGTATCAAACTTAGAAATCATTAAAAATCCTTAATGTTTTATCCTTGGTACTGAACATTGTCTTTATCACGAGAATGGACTAAAATTATATTTGACAATGTTGAACCGTCATTAATTACTTTGTTTGATTACTACAAAAAAACTGGAATTAGCTACGAATGTCGTCGCTAATCTGTCGCTAAAATGCTCGTAGCTAGCGAATTTCTTGATAATTCGTCGCTAAATGAGATTAGCGACGGATTTTTCTGTTAAGATATAGAAGTTGTTCGTCGCTAAAACCTGATTTTTTAGTAGTGGATCTTCTTGAACCTAGATCTTGGGATCTCCAATCTTCTAAGTAGAGCTACCGCCACAATGACTTGTCCTCAGCCATAATCTCATTCCCTTCAATGATTTATCAACCGCCTCTTTAGTTAGGCCTTTTGTAAGAGAATCTGACACGTTATCTTTTGACTTTACATAGCGAGCTGTTATAATTCTACTAGAGAGTAGTTGTCTAACGATATTATATCTTCGTCGTATGTAATGAGATTTCCTGTTATACATTATGCTCTCAGCCCTTCCTCTTGCCGTTTGATTATCACAATGTATGCATATAGGAGCCATTGGTTTGGGCCAAAATGAAATATCTTTCAAGAAATTCTGAAGTCATTTAGCTTCTTCTCCATCCTTGTCTAAAGCTATAAACTCAAATTCCATTACACAGCGAGCGATGCATGTCTATTTGGATAATTTCCAAGACATTGCTCCTCCACTAAGGGTGGCATGTGGGCCGATTAAGATCGGGCCCAGCCCAGGACCGCAAGCCCAAATGGACGGTGGGCCTAAACGGTTCTAACCAGATAGGACCGAGATCGTGGGGAGGTGGGTTGGGTAGTGGGCCGGTCCTATAGGCGAGGCCCGCGAGACCGGGACCGGCTGGGAAGTGGGCCGGTTCAAGCGGTCCTAAACGGGCCTATCCGGGCCCAATGGCTAATTTTTTTTTTAAAAACAATTCTGCCACAGAAAGGAATCGAAACATAAAAAAACTCAAAAAAGAAAAAAGAAAAAAAGTAAAGGAAAACAACAGCTGGAATTGGATTGTCAAGTGCATTCTTGTTCTTGTAAAAAGGATTTTGGTTTCCAAAAAATAGGACCCACTTGTTTCCTATTCATCACTTCTAAGGAATGTTTTATATTTTCTGAATAGTAGCCGCTATGGCATTTAAAATATGGCCGTTTTACCTGCCAAAATACCCGTTGCCTATTTATAAAATAGCCATTCAACCCCTTAACTTTGTTTTAACCTCAAACTTTTTATAATTATACTTTTTCCCTATTTTCAACTATAAATACCCCCTCATTCTTTTATTTTTCTCACAAAATCATCAATCTCTCTCTAAATTTCTTGTATAATTGCTTACTTTATTGTTACAATTTGTGTAAAATTGTGAAGTTGGTGAATTGAAGTCTTCAAGTCTTCATCGATAATTAATTTTCAACAAGTTGTTCGTCAATTCGATAAACCCGTTCCAACTCTTAAGTTTTAATATTATAGTTTTGTTTGTTTTATTTACTTTGTATTATTTGATTAATTAAAATGGCTTATTCCTTAAAAATAATATTTAATAAAAATAAGAAAAACTCTAAGAGTGGTGAATCTAGTGGCCAATCTGTTCCTCCTCCACTTCTCCCGGCTCCCCAACCCAAACCTGTTACCCGTCTTACACCTCCTATTCTTGATAGCGATAATAGTTTATTATAATTTATCGAGAGTCAATTTTGCCATAATATTGCACCCGGTGAACAATTAAACCATGAATATATGAATGTTCTTTCTGGTAATCCAACTATTGATGAAAATGATAATAATGAAATAGATTTTGATGAAACGCAACCGGATGACGATACACTGACTAGTCCTGCTCCTGAAGTTAACCCTCCTGTTATTGCTCCTACTTTTTCTAGACAACCTTCTAAACGGGCAGAAACATCTGTTGTTTGACCATTTTTTCCTCAACTAAGAGAAATAAATAGGGCTAAGTGTAAAACTTATGGAAAAGAGTTGGTTTTTAAATATGTTGGATGTCNATAAAGCTAGATATTTTCGTATGAAAGTTTTGGCCGAGTGGACAAGTGCACCTAGTCAGGCTGACCTTAGTACCGGCTCAAATCAATTTTAACCGGAAATTTTGCTATTCCCCCTATTTATGGTGTTGCTGCATTGTTAAATCCTACTATAAAATTAGGAGGTCATCAATTTTGGTATGAAACTGTTTATAATGGTTTAGCACTTGAAGATGCGGAGTTGTCTAAACTTCCAGACGCAATAGCCTCAATTAAAATAAATATTCAAACTATTTATAATGCTTATCAAGTTGCATTAGATCATGCTAGACCAAATGTTTCAACTCCTTCTTCTTCTAATTCTCAATCATCTAAAAGAACTGCAGGAGTAAGAACACTTAGTACTTGGACGGGGTTCAGGGGTCCTCAAGGTTCTAGTACTAGTAATTTTTCACAACTAAATGAGCTTGAAGTTTATTTGTCATAGGGAATTGAGGAAGTGAATCCCGATGACTCCTTTAATATTTTAAAATGGTGGAAGGACAAAGAAAAATACTTTCCGATTATTTCAAGGATGGCCCGAGACATTTTAACTATTCAATCATCAACCGTGGCATCAGAGAGCACTTTTAGTCAAGCAAGACTTTAACTCGGTGATTATAGAGCGTCTATGAGGAAGAGCTTGAAAAAATCAGTACTTTTCAGAGATTGGATCCGTTCGGAAAGAAGAAATTTTGGACTTGCTGAATCACAATCAGAGGTAGACGAAGCTTACGAAGAAATGCTAGCTGAACTTGCGGAGGATGCTGCTTCGCCCGGAAGCGGTGATGACCAAGCTTTTTTTTCCGCCACCACCAACGAAAATTCCTCCGGACCTTGAAGGATTTATGAAATTTGTAAGAGATACCATGTAACTTATATGAATAAAAATTAATATGTAACTTGTATTTTGGCACATCTTGATTAGTTTCTTTTTCTTCTCAATGGTGGTATTAGCACCTTGTTGTGCTCATTCCATAGGGGGGAGGAAGACTAAGAAAGATATTGCCATGATTTTTAATGCNAAGAGGAAGACTAAGGAAGATATTGCCATATTTGTTTAATGCTATAATAAAATTATAACGCATTGCTTTGAATATCTCTTTAAAATATTTTTGTCTTTAAATTTAAATTAAAAACTTTAGGTCACAATTCTATAATATAATTTACAAGGAATTGCCTTAGATATTGTTATTACCATTTTTTTTCTAACTTCTATAAAAAAAATTAAAAAATAGAAAGTATCCATTGGGCCCGAGTCTGGCCCACTTAACCCGAGACCGTTAATTCGTGGTCTCGGTCCCAGGCCAGTTCCAACAAGAAGCCCGCAAAGACTGGGACCACTTAGAACCGGCCCACTTAGGACCGGGCCCACGAAGCCCATTTAGGACCGGGCCCGGCCCACATGCCACCCTTATTCTCCACCAATGATAAAAACATATCCACTTGTGTACTTTGTTTCTGCTGTTCCAATTTATATCACTATATCCTTCAATTACCACAGGATATTTATTGTAGTGCAAAGCATAATTTTGGGTATGTTTTAAATAGATAAAATGAAAAAAATCATCCCTTATCTTTAGGAGTAGGTTTATGATAGTCCCTTAAATATGTGCTTGTCGTTTTTAGTCCTTTAAGTATTCAAAAACTTATCAATTTTGGTCTCCGTCTACTTTTAACCAAGCACCGTCAGTTTATTTTAATAGCTAGTCCACTTCAGCCTCACGTGACCTTCAAAACATTAAAAACTCAGTCTTCCCCAATTCTTTATCTCTCCCCGTTTATCCCTCCCCCCCCCCAAATTTTTCTTTCTCCTTTCTACTTAATTGCAAGGATAATAGTCCTTTGTACTTAATTATGTAATGAAAGTGTCATAACGTTTGGCTATTTTGAATTTTATTTATTCTGAGTGCATATGTCCTTGGCCATCATTTTATTTGAGTTGTTGTGATATGCTAAGCAAGTGGAATGAATAAACAACATAATTGAGCCAAAAAAATAGTATCATTTTCATGTTAATAAATAGTCATTACATCAATGAAATTGCAGAAAACTGCACAAAATTGCAAAAAAAAGCATAAAACTTGAAAAACCAGCATCAAATTGCAGAAAACAACAACCAAACTGTAGCAAAAATTAGCAACTAAACTGCACAAAAAATGAGCACCACACTGCACCAGAACTAGCACCAAACTACGCCAAAAATCAGCAACTAAACTGCAAAATCTGCAGTAAACTGGAGCACTTCACTTTGCTGAGTTGAGTGCATATTAGCTTGGGTCTCTGGAACCCTTCGAACCTGGACAAATACATAATATCATTACACAAGTTGAACATAATTATTTGAGTGTAATCTTCTATAAGTTAAACAAGAAATTACTGGTAGTTTTGTTGGAAGACATGATGAAGATGATTCCTCGAATTGCTGAGTAACATTCTGAGAATCAATCTGCCCCAAATTATACTTGTAAGTCCTTTTGTTATGTCTACTATTGTGACATATACTGCATCCTAAAGTTTTATGCTTTCTTCTCATTTTTGTACTACTCGCTCCCGCTTCATCTGGTTCTTTTCTCCTTAACTTCTGTTTTCTCCCTTTAGTACTTTGTCTCACTATTTTTGGAGGTAAATGAGGAATATTATCATGTTGTGGCCACATGTTTTGACCATTCATTGGAAGAATGACAAATTCATAGATTCTTCTTTAGGTGTCCACCTTATAAAAGTCATCAACATAAGAATTAATTTCATCATTTTTAGCCCAAATTGCAGCTATGGCATGCTTGCAAGGAATTCCTATCAAATCCCATTTTCTACAGCTACATTTCTATTTAGTAAGTCCACAGCCCAATTATCAGTTATGCTAGCTCTTGTAAGCTTATAGTTCCACTGATTTGCCTTTCTAGGAATATATTCAGTAGCAACAACTTGACTTTTGTGCAACACATCCTTAATTCTGGAGCAAATATCATCAGAACTCCACATGGCAGATTTATCCCTATTTGCTTGCATTTTTGTCATAAGTAGATATCAAATTTTCTCCAAAAGAGTGATAATAGGTTTATCCCTCGCCTCCAATATCATGATGTTAAAACATTCACACATGTTATTCAATAAGGTATTACATTTCACATTTTCAGAAAAGTGAGATCTAGACCGTTCACTAGTTGACTTATCTCTCAACCAAGAAGCAACTGCGGGGTCTAAATCAATTATTTTAAGCATGCATTTATCAAACCACTTTACTGTTATTACACTAGTAGCTTTCCACAGTGCATTTCTCAATGTGTTACCATTAAATCCCGTCCTCTTAAAGTTATTATGCAAGTGCCTCACACAAAATCTATGAGTCACAAATGGTAATATCTCATTAAATGCTTCTATCAAACCTTTTTGCTTGTCTGACATGAAGGTCCAATTAGCTTCATCATCTATCTCCAAGTCAAGCTTTAAATGATTCAGAAACCATGCCCATGACTCGTGACATTCTTTCTCCACAATTGCATATGCTATCAGATATATATTATTATTAGGATCAAGCCCAATAGCAGTTAATAAATGAGTACCGTACATTGGACCCTCGAGCCAACAACCATCCACCCCAATTATTCTTCTGCAACCACTTTTGAAACCTTCCTTGCAAGCACTAAAACAAATATAGAATCTCTTAAATCTTTTATGCTTGCTAGGATCCTCATTTTCGACCAACTTCATATAAACAGAAGTATTTGGATTTGCTCTTACTATTTCATTACAATAATTCCACACCACTTTGAATTGATCAGAAATATCTCCATCGATAATTGCAATGGCCTTCTTCATTGACCTTTTACATTTAGATAAAGTCACATGTGCTCTTAACTGTTGTCACGACCCAAAATATCACCTGTCGTGATGGCGCCTATCTCAATACTAGGCAAGCCAAAAATCCCAATAAACCACCATTTCTTTTAAATTTGAAAAAAATAAAATAATTAAATTCAGCGGAAGAAATCTCAAAATTTCAAATATATCACTCCCAAAACCCGGTATCACTGGGTACATGAAAATCTAATGTGAATACAATATTTGACTGATAAAAACCACTACCTGAAAGTAGAGAACAGTACAATAACTGAAGAAAAGAGAGACAAGGTCAGCGGACGCCAAGCAACTACCTTGATAGTCTCCAACTAATAGTACTCTGAAATCTAACAATCTCCGTGTTCGAAAGCATCTAGATCTGCACACGAGGTGCAAAGTGTAGTATGAGTACAACTAACTCAATAAGTAACAAGACTAACCTCTAGGCTGAAAGAAATGATGAGCTCCGCAGGTACAATCCAGTAAAATAATGGTACAGAAATGTAGGCATGCTTTCAGGTTCAACAGATAAAGTCAGTACAAATAAAATAGATCAATACTGCATGATGTAAGGAAGATGACATTTTAGTAGCAAGACCTCCTGTAGATACTGGTCACCAATTATTCGGTCACTCGGTACAGTTTATGGCCAGTCCAGCCCCGGGGTGTTCCAACCCATATATATATATATATATATATATATACACACATCGACTGATAGTCAGTCATTCAGTACCGTATAAGGCCAATCCAGCCTTGGGGTAATTTACCCCCAAATACAAATGATACAGACAAGATCCATATCCAGGTAAATTCATTACAACATAAATAAGTAAGGCAAGTCCATGCCTTAGGAAAAATCCATCCCAAATATATATATAAGCAGTAAATAAGGCAATTCCATACCCAGGAAAATCCATCCCGAATATATATAATCATCTACGCTCACTGGGGGTGTACAGACTCCGGAGGAGCTCCTTCAGCCCAAGCGCTATAAGTCGATCGCGCTCACTGGGGTGTGTGCAGACTCTCGGAGGGGCTCCTTCAACCCAAGCGTGATATGAAGCCAATATGACCTCAGTCCCAATCCGTATAATAATAAAGCCAATAAGTCCTGCTGCAGGCGGGCAGCCCCGATCCAAAAAATAATAAAGCCAATAAGGCCTGCTGCAGGCGGGCAGCCCCGATCCATAAAATAATAAAGCCAATAAGGCCTGCTGCAGGCGGGCAGCCCCGATCCATAAAATAATAAAGCCAATAAGGCCTGCTGCAGGCGGGCAGCCCTAATCCATAAAATAGTAAAGCCAATAAGGCCTGCTGCAGGCAGCCCCAATCCATAAAATAGTAAAGCCAATAAGGCCTGCTGCAGGCGGGCAGCCCCAATCCATAAAATAGTAAAGCCAATAAGGCCTGCTGCAGGTGGACAGCCCCGATCCAGAACAATAATACTGTATAAAGCCATTCTGGCCTGTTGCAGGCGGGCAACCCCGAACCATTTAATAATAACATATATAAAGCTAAATGGCCTGCTGCGTTGCGCAGCTCAATCCCATAAATATCCTCACAATGGACAATTATTACTGAGTGTGAAAGGTATATTTTAGAACAATTAATTCAACAGCATCATGACCCCATGGGTCCTAAAATATCGGCACATAACCTAAAAATGATCTTTATTACAAGCCTCGACTCAATTCCTCTAACACGTGCCACATGTTCAGATAATAACATGATTCTTTAATTTCACAACTTCAGAGGATTTATTCAAGACACAATTTCTTTGGTGCACCTCTACATGTTCGTCACCTATCGTGTGTGTCACCTTCAACAATTCATATCATACCAAATTCAGGGATTCATACCCTCAGAACCAAGTTTAGAAGTGTTACTTACCTCAAACCGTGTAATTCTTTACTCCGGTATGCTTTTTCCTCGTGAATTTGCCTCCAAACGCCTCAAATCTAGCCACAATTAATTCATTTCAGTTAATAAAATTTATTGGCATTAATTCCATAAGAAAATGCTAATTTTCTATAAAAACCCAAAATTTAGCTCAAACTTCGCTCGTGGGACCCACGTCTCAAAATTTGATAAAATATAAAATATCCGAACACCCATTCAACCACGACTCTAACCATATAAATTTTACTCAAATCCGACATCAACTCGATCCTCAAATCTCCAAATTAAACCAAGAGGGTTTTCACAATTTTCCAATTTAATTCACCAATTAAATATTACAAACAGCTATGGATTCGGGTAATTTAACCAATATTGAGTTAAGAACACTTACCCCGTTATTTTTCTTGAAAAGCTCCCGAAAATCGCCTCTTCCCGAGCTCAAATCCGTCAAAAATGGAAAATGGGATTAAGTCCTATTTTCAGAACTTAAATCTGTTGCCCAGTCATTTACCCTATGCGATCGCAGCGAAACACCCGCGATCGCGAAGCAAGAAATTTCTCTAGCCTTTTTTTCACTATATGCAATCGCGGCCAGTCTCCCGCGATCGTGAAGAACAAATTCCCCAACAGCCTTGTCCAACTTCTTCCGGACAGCCTCTAGTATAACGATCATAACTTTTTGTACAAAACTCTAAATGACAAATGGTTTATATTTCAGAAAATTACACACAAAGGGCTACAACTTTCATTTTTGGATCATCTCCTAATTCCTTATAGATTGAGAGATATAAGCTTTCAAAGTTGGGTCAGTGCAACAGACAATTTCCTCTACGCGATCGCGAAAGGCCTTCCGCGATCGCGATTCACTGGCCATTTTTTCCCCATTTTGTACTTCGCTATCGCGGCCAATTCCACGCGATCGCATAGCACACTGCTAGAGCCAAAAACCAACTACTTTAAATGGCCCAGAAATAGTCCGAAACCACCCCGAAACTCATCCGGGGCCCCCGGGACCCCAACCAAATACACCATCAAGTCCCAAAACATCATATGAACTTAGTCGAAGCCTCGAATCACATCAAACAATGCTAAACCACAAATCGCACCTTAATTCAAGCCTAATGAACTTTGAATTTCAAATTCTATATCTTGTGCCGAAATACATCAAATCAATCCAGAATGACTTCAAATTTTTCACACAAGTCATAAATAACATAATGAAGCTATTCTAATTTCCAGAATCGGATTTCGACCTCAATATTAAAAAGTCAACCCCCCGGTCAAACTTTCCAAAAATTTAACTTTCGGCATTTCAAGCTTAATTCCACTACGGACCTCCAAATAATTTTTCGGATACACACTTAAGTCAAAAATTACCATACGGAGCTATTGGAATCATCAAAACTCTATTCCGGGGTCATTTACACGTAAGTCACCATCCGGTCAAATATTTTAACGTAAGCTTCCAACATGAAATTTATTCTTCCAAGCTAACTCTGAAATATCTTAAAACCAAAACCGATAATTCATACAAGTTATAATACCTCGTAGGAAGTTATTCAAGACTTCAAATAGTTGAAAGGAGCGTAAATGCTCAAAATGACCGATCGGGTCGTTACAATTGTACACTCACATGATCTCCAAATTTGGAGATCTTCCAATTCATATTTGATTTTATGGCATCAAGATATCTTCTATCAATGAATGAAGATGTGACAACATTGCTATAATAATTCCAATTCTTACAATCATGGGTGGAATTATACGTTTTTATCTGAAAATCGCTATCCCTATACATGTTAGAAGCCATAATCTCCCAATTGTAATCCGGTTTCACACATTTTGCTCTTATCCTTTCTCTATCATTCTTGCACTATTCTATATACAACAACAACAACAACCCAGTATAATTCCACTAGTGGCGTCTGGGAAGGGTAGTGTGCACGCAGACCTTATCCCTACTCTGAGGTAGAGAGGTTGTTTTTGATAGACCCTCGGCTCCCTCCCTCCAAGAACTCCCCACCTTGCTCTTGGGGTGACTCGAACTCACAACCTCTTGGTTGAAAGTGGAGGGTGCTCACCACTAGAGCAACCCACTCTTATCCTTTCACCATTATATATACTTTTCTTGATTAACTTCATGAGTAGTCACAACATTCTTGAACTCCTTTTTATTTTCGAATGTCATTTCGAGTGCTAAGACGGGATGTAACATGTTTGTTTTTGAATTGAACTTAGGAAAGTTTAAACTGTCAGAATCAGAATCACTTTCCAAGCTCTTAAACTCCTTAGAGTTAACACAATCAGAATCTCCTTCTTCTGTCGCTATTTTGTCACTCATTGAAAGTTGCCTCAATATCCACTCCGATATAAGAGTCTAAATGTTCAAAGAAAACTTCAATTATCCTATCTACATGGATGTTCGTAGATACCAAATTAGCTTCCAGGTCGGTTGAAATAAGTCTCATTCTCTCACTGACCCTACCTACTTATGCCAAAATGCGACTGAATCATTATCATATCCACATACCGCAGTCATAGTCTTGAATTGTGATAGCTGCATTTATGAAATATCAACATAGTCAATAAACTGTACAAGACCCCCAACATAATGTCTTCGAGAATAGTTCTTCATAACACCGTTGTGGTTTACTTTGATGCTAATCTTTGATACATCTTGTATATGGTCTGATAAACAAAACAGAGAAAGAAAAATTTATTTTTCTATTCATATCAGCTAGTATATTTTACTATATTATAAAAATATAAAATGCAAGATTCAAGTATACACTTAAAAACATAACTTTTTGACCATTCCCAGTAATAAAAAAAGCACATAAAGATGGAGACACATATGTAGAAATAAACTAATAAAAAGCACTATAGAGATTTCCAGCAATATATCTAAAAATATTCTAGCAATAAACAAAAGCACTAAAGATGTAAAGAATCTAATATAGGTGATAAAGCTAAAAAAATAGAGACGAGAGTAAATTCACATAAAAATTTCATCAAATCCCCAACAGAGAAATACATCTGAAAATATTCTTCAACACTAAACAAAGCCCCACATCACT